AGTAGTGAAATTCCTTTTGTAAATTCTAATGTATTTGCAGGAAGTCTGGCAGTTTAAACGAAGTATTGAACGAAATATAAATACGTCTACGTGAATTACGTTAAATATGTCTATTTAGCTGTATAAAAAATGCAAAAGGATTCAAAATTAAAATAAAACTACTATCAGATTTATGTAAACATCCAATTTAAAAACAATTTATGTTTTCATCAGTTAAATGTGCTTCATATNATTTCACTGCAAAGCTACACTTTTTTCAAGTAAATTTGCAAAGAAGCAACACTGTGCCACTGCTAAGGGAGCGGTGCGAGAGAGACAACTATCAGTTTATCGAACCTTGAATTATTGAATCATGTTATCAGACAACCTGAAAATAGACGTTAGGAAATAACTGTTAGCAGGCAAAGTTAGGATATAACTTTTATCGTCAAAATAAAAAAATATTTCTCATCTAACACCGTGGGACAGTAAATTTACACAAAAAAAAATCAATATACTCGCGGAATTGGGGGCCAAATATGCGTTTTTAGTTTGTCTCAAAGAGATGATAGATTTAAAAAATTATTTACAAAATTCATGGTAATGTGGACCACCCTAATGTACATATGTACATACGTGTGTACCAAAACTACGGTGAGTTTACGGTACCTACTACTGTCGCTAGTATGTTTGTATGTACTAGATAAGCAAACTCACCTGTGCGAAAATAATTAATAAAGCAGAAATTAACAATAAGAAGGTGTACATAGGTAGAAACAATACAAATACATTTTCTACAAAGGCAAGAGAGTACAAAGTGATTAGAAACTGATAAAAGAACTAACGATATCTGATAAAATTATTGGCAAAATATTTTTGTGAGTAATGCCAACTGCTTATTCTCAAATTGAAGTCAGTCAAAATTTCGAATTCATAGAGCAAGCATACGAGCAAGGCGTATTTAACAAGGTGGTGTTGGCCGTATATAAGTAAAAAATTACACTAACAAATTATACGCTGATGTCCATACTGTCATTGGTATGAGTTACAACAAACACATCATTTTGACGTAATGGCCTCCACGGCGAAAAACTCAGCTGTCGCCCCAACACCACCTTGTTTAATACACCTTGCATACGAGTTTCATAACTGTCTTCTGTCGGTGTTGTTGCTGAAAAGCGATTTCAGCATTTTTTAACGGCTTAATAGATAGTTGGTCTTGTTTCTTTGAATGAAGACCTGAAAAGTGGTCGGTTAAAATTATCGTTAAAATTGCGATTCATGTTATCGATTGATGTCATGTTTGGGTTGATTGAACACCAAACATATTCATACATATAAACAAAATCTACACCCGTATGCAAAAAAAAATGAAATAAATAAAAAGAAACAGTAAAGTTTAATAGCTTTTCATACAGATAACAAAAAAAAATTAAGTGTTTGAAAGATCTAGCAGGAAATCAGTAACTATTATCTATATTCCTTTCAACGGCTACACAGAAAAAATGCGAAAATTTACCTATCAAAGTGAATCACCATAAGTCGTTATGCGAATCCGATCGTAATTTTTGTGCTGATAACGAAAAAATCTCATTTACTTAAAGTTCTTATCGACGGAGTATAGATATTTTTGTATGTGTTACCACTTGTAAGCTTGCTAACGATTTTCCATAGCTACTTACAGTGAAACCTCGATATAACAAGTCTTAATAAAACAAACGCGAAAAAAATTCAATATGAAAAATGTTGGCAAAGTCCCCTGAAAAAAAAATTATTTTTGCGAAATATTCTATACAAAAATGGCACATAGGTAAACGAAGACATTTTGAGCCCCTATACTACGAAGTGTCAACTCAAAAGCCTCTTCGTGAGGAATTCTGAATATGTTGCCGTTTAGAGTTCCGTTAAAAATATCTAAACTATACTTGTGTATAACCAAAATTTTCTATTTTTGTTGTGGAAAGATTTTGTATATTAACAAATTTTACACCGAAGAGCTCGTCCTACCCCCTTCAACGTCGTTATATCGAGGTTTCACAGCGCATATTTTTATGATATGTGACTGCATACCATTACTCATTAATCACTGAAGTCTAAATAAGGGTCAAGGGAAGTCGAAATTTTCTATGATTCTTATCTGTTTTTTGTTTTTTCTTAAAACCTCTTTCGAAGGCATACAGAAATATGGATAAAAATTACATTAGTTCTCCAAACGATTTCCAGCACATGGAAGGTGCCGAATCGGTAGAATTCAAACGAACCTTTGCTCTCGATGGCACCGGTGAGGATGAAACTTTGCGGTTGTATTTGCGAAAAGCCGGATTATCGGATGAAATTGAATATTTAACACCGGAACAGCGACGCGCATTCATTTATGATATTATAAAAAGCAACAAAATGCCAGGATATTGGATGGTAATTAAATAATGTATTTGCATTTCTATTTGAATTATATAACTTAGTGTTTGCAAAAAATAGTGAATTACGCAAGTCAATTGGACGTGAAAACATGCTATTAGTTTTAGTAGAAAAATTTAGTATAAGGTGATGCAATTTTTTGTATATAACTTTATTTAATTTGGATATAGTGCTTAGGCGATTCCTTGAAGCTCAAACAAAATTATTTTTTTTTACAAATCCTGCCAGCTTAGAAACCTTCGCGGGTTTTGAGGGCCTGTAAAATGAACAGGCAAAACACCCGACATTTTTTGGTGTTGCTAAAGTTCTATATCCACCTGTTCAATGTACCTTGGAATAGCCATATAATTACTAAACACACTGCGCGTAAAGAAATTTGGGAAAAATCGAAATACCCATCTATATTTAGTAACTATGACACCACCAGTTACTAAAGAACTTACCCATAAAAATTTGTATAGATTTATTTTAGATAAAGTTTATGGGACGATAAGAAAAACTTAGTTTGTACATTAGACTGCATCACCAAAAAAGTTGTCATTTATCCGCCGAGATTTCAAAAGTTATTATATGTGACAACGTTCACCAAAATATTTCGGAAATATTTTAAGACTTACGTGAGCTGGACGTGGTCTTAAGACCAAAGCGAATTCTTGTAAAAACAACAATGGCGACCTAGTGACTGATGTCCAGAGCGTACTTAAATTATTGAGGGAACACTTTTCCCCCCTACTGAATGGTAGCAGTACTGAAAGCTGTGGAGAAGACGAAACCGAGCCCCCCTTCGATGATGACGGAGTCGATACTCCACCAACTGACTATGACGAAGTACAAATAGTAATAGCGCTCTTGAAAAACAACAAAGCTACTGCAGCTGACAGCCTGCCAGCTGAGCTATTCAAGTGCGGCGGCGAGGAGTTGATAAGGTGCATGCATCAACTTTTATGCAGATTATGGCCAAATGAACGCATATCCGACGACTGGAATTTAAGTGTGCTCTGCCCAATCCACAAGAAAGACGATCCCGCCATTCGCGCCAACTGCCGCGGGATCAGCCTCCTCAGCAAAGGTTACAAAATCTTATCGAGTGAAGCCCACCGTCAAAGAACTGATTGGGCCTTATCAAAGTGGCTTTAAGCAATTCCACCATAGACCAGGTATTCACAGTACGTCAGATCTTGGAAAAGATCTGCGAGAAAAGGATCGACACTCACCATTTATTTGTCCATTTCAAAGCCGCTTTCGAAAGCACTAAAAGGAGTTGCCTATGTGCCGAGATGTCTGAATTTTGTCCCCGCGAACGGCTGTGTAAAATGACGTTGAGCAATACCACCAGCTCCGTCACAATTAGGAAAGACCTCTCCGAGCCGTTCGCCACCAAACGGGGTTTCAGACAGCATTTTCCAAGTTGGATAAGGAAGCAAAGCGAATGTGTCTGGTGGTAAACGAGGACAAGACGAAGTATCTCCTGTCATCAAACAAACAGTCAGCACATTCGCGCCTTGGTACCCACGTCACTGTTGACAGTTATAATTTCGAGAAAGTAGAAAGTTTAGTTTACTTAAGTTACCTATCATGCCCGTGTTGGTATATGGCCCCGTGGGTCCGCCACTAACTGACACGTAGTTTAGCTCCCAAAACCAGTTAACCACATTTCAATCAAAAGATTATTGAAGCAGAAATACTTAGACTAAAATTAGAATAAATCTTAGAATTTTTAACTCCTTATTTAAAGTACTCCGCCATCATTTCAGCCTTCAACACTGGCATCGGCGTCATCATATACTCTACCGCCATCATCGTTACCCACAGAACGTGCCAAGCCACCGCCAACACCTGTGCGCACAACCACAGCCTCTCCTGGTATGCGACGGCATAACAACGCTGGCCTATCGACAACACTCAACTATGCCACCATCAGCTCTAACTCATCAAGCAGTAGTCTGCAAAGCTTAGAACAAAGTAGTCCCATAGTACCACGTCGTTTTCAGCCGACGCCACCCCAGCCACCTTCGCCTTCGACATTTGTGACGGGCATTAAAGGCTCCCGTTACGAGATTAGCGGTCCGATGAACTTTCAACACATCGCCGGAGATATGACGCGTGACCGAACGCGTAATGCATTTGACCTAACCATGACCATGAATGATAATGTGCTGCGGAAGTATATGTTGGAGCGCGGCATCAAGGAGGAAGATTTGGCCGGCATGCGCAAGCAGGATGTCATTAAAAATATTGTGCAATCAAAGTTTACGTGGATGGTGAGTAAACTACAAGAGTTTAGTATAATATTGAATTTAACTTAGTAAACGATGTGTACTTTCAGCCACTACAGCACAATGGTAATGGCACTGTCAGCCATTCACAACCCAACATTATGTATGCCACTATTTCCTCGCGCACGGATCGTACACCACCCGAAACACCGAGAGTTTCACGCCACATGAAATCTAGACATGCGCCACCCCTACCACCGCCAGTACCATTGCGGCAACAAGATTTGACTCCTACGCCAACTTCTCCTTCCCCACCAACTTTCTGCGCTACGCCAACAACTCCAACGAATCCTGTGTCGAATTTCTCCTTTTTAGCTTCACGTTTCGCCAGTCCTACTGAATTTCCAACGATCGAAGATATTTACAGTAATCAGACTGTAACGGAAGTTCCAACAGTACAAGCGCCAATGCAGCCAAGACAAACTTATAGACAACCGCCACCACCACCACCTACAACTATCAAACCGAAATCAAGCGTCGATGCAGCGCCGCCACCACCTTCTCTAGTTCAGGCCAACAACAATAAATCGGCAGTAATTTATCATTCCAATCAGAGTTTGGAAAGCATCGACGAGTGGGAAGTTTCTGATAATAGCGCTGATAGAAATTTGTATGACAGAACCACTGTGGCTCACAATAGGCCGCCACCACCTCCTAAGCTAACGATACCACCAATCACGAAGAACAATGATTATGCTTCAATGAAACCGCTAAATAGTCAAAATGGCGGTACAGATTCCTCTCCATTATATGCCACTATTGGCAATAGAAAGAAAGCATCGCCACCAACGCCACCTAAACCGGCGCCGAAGCCACAATTCGTTGCAAAAGTTTCAGCAGCGGCAGCGGCAGCGCCACCACCACCACCACCACCTCCGCCACCGCCTGCAACTATTGGCGCACAAGTACCACAGCCGCCGCCTCCACCACCTCCGGCTGGTGGCGCACCTTTACCTCCTCCACCACCACACATGCCAAATACAACAGCTAAAAGTAGTAATGGCTCTCCCACTTCACTAACCGTAAACAATGATAACGGCGATACGCGTGGCGCTTTGCTTGATAGCATACGGAAGGGCGTTGCTTTAAAGGTAGGTGCTACGGTTTGTTGGCCGTAGTAAAGGTAAACACTAACAAGATATTTACCAATTTTTTTTTTTTATTAACAGAAAGTCAATGAGAAAGCTGCAACGATCAGCGGTGTTAAGCCACGCGCTGAACGCAAACCACCAGTTAACGACTTCCTCTCCGAATTAAAAATGGGTATTACTCTGCGACGTGTAAAGGATAAAAATCAGAATCCGTATGCTGGTGAAGATCCAGACGAATCGCAAGCCTAAAAAAGTAGAATTACGAAACGAAAGCTTTTCAGCGCGCCATAAATTAGTATATAAAATGATGAGAACAATGGTGCTTATACATACATACTTACATATATCAACAGGACTATACTTACATACGTGCAATACATATTATGTTATATTTACTCAAATTATTTCCATATTTCCATTTTGGTTACTGTTACTCATATTATACTGCTGATTTGATGCCCATCACTGACATTATTTTTATGCTGATCATTGGTACCGATATTGTGAATGTTATCGATATATGTAACGGTATTGTTATCGTTTTCTCGCTCTTGATACTAGTTTAATAAAGTGCATGTTTCAAGTGGCTAAGAATACGCGTTGATTTTTGACCTATGACACCGTCAGCAACAAGAAAAAAATATCAAAAAGCAACGCGAATTCTTAGCCACTTGAAACTTGCACTTTGTTGAGCTAGAATTTAACGGGCTATGAAACAGCATACTTAGAATTTTTCTAAAAGTTCTTTATAAAAATTTTATTGTTGATGTAGTTTTTTTTTTTGAAGTTTTCGATTTTTTCAACGAAAATTAAAATTTAGACTTAAAAGAAAAATAGCTAAACCTGGTCCCTCTTATTTTTCACATGACTGTATATATGTAGCTACATTGAACGTTTAAATGTTGCTGATGGGTCTTTTGAATTTGTTTGTGTTGTTTCTGCTAAATCAAATGCAATAGGATTCGATGGATTTCATGCAAATTTTCTTAAAATAATACTTTCCATAATCTAGCCGCAAGCTTCCCATTCAGTCTACTCCATCCCGATGACCTGCATTTTTTCAAAGTGCTGGAAAGTGGCGAAGGTAATCCCTATTCACAGGAAAAATAACGAGCATAGCCAAAGAGCTATTCTGCCCTTTCTGTCTATGTTGAGCGAATCTTACATTAGCAAATTATTTCGTACGTGCAAGATCATACATCCAGTCCAGAAAAGTTAAGGAACGAAATTAAATTTATAGGGCTCCGATTATTAAGTTTTTTGCATGTATTTTATGTTCTAAAGTAGTAATGGAAATTCATACAAAACTCTTCGATTCAGTTGAATACTATTTTTATTCTAAAACTGGTCATAATTTAAATTTTATGCCAGGTGCCTTACAAACTTTACAGTAATTTAAATAAAATATAAAAATGTGTATGTGCGTAATATATTGTAATATATATGTGTGCATGTAAACTTAAATCGTTTTAAAGTTCTAGTATTTATGATCTTCGACGTACAAACTTTTGTCAGGTTTGAAGGCCGGTATAGAGCCTGGCACGTATTTACCATCTCTGGCTAGTCCATTTGCCTGTGAAATGAAAGATAATGAGAACATTTAATTATTTACTGAAGTAATATGTACATACAGTGACGAGCAAAACTGTAACATGGAGTAACACTTTTTATTTCAGCTGTCGCTATCTTTCCAAGTTTTAACGACATTCATACGGTTGTTGTATATTTTTATTGGTACATCTTTGCTTCCTCTGTCATAACGATTTGAAGTCAATTCAACAACATTTACAAAACCAGCAGACAAAAATGTAAATTAAGGCATATGTTACAGTTTTGCACTCATATATTTTTAATAACTTTTTGACAATTTTCACAAAAAAAAAGAATTATTAACACAATGTTCAGTATGCTTTTGCTTTATTTAGTTCCTGGTTGCAATTTGGCATACCTAATGTGTATGTCTGTAAAAATTCTGGAGGTATAGCCTCCCATATATCCTTGGTGTGCTTTCACCGCTCATGTACTCCATTGGACGGACTTGGATACTTAGTAAGATGCGCTTTTAGTTGATTTCGCAAATTCTCGATGAGATTCATGTCCTCGGATTGTGGAGGTCATTTCAAATTAGCAATTTTCTGCTTTTGTTCCAGTCTTTGCGAACATGTGCAGTGTGTTTTGGTTGCTTTTTCAGCAGAAACTCTAATTTTTTCGACTACATCTTGCAAATTTTGTTAAAATATGAACAGATACTGTTCCTTACGCATAATGCGTACAAACGGATCAACAACATTTTTGAAATACAACCCCAAACTAACTATTATTGACCGACCACTGTGATTCACAGTTTGCCTTACATGATGCGCTTAGGCTTAATTTGGGCCTTTGATCCAATACCATGCCCGGCCATCTGATTGAAAGCTATTAATTTAGTCTTGTCAGACCAAATAACCCTCAATTAAATCTTAAAAATGTGTTTTTTATTGCATTCTGTAAGGCCTAACATATCCCAATAGGCAACGGTCCGGTTTTCGTGCGATGCAGCAAAACGCTGCCACACTCGCACATGTATTTTGATCAAATTTGCTTTTTTCTTCTTTTATGATCCATTTTGCTCAATTTGGCAATTTTTCGCCTCACTATCTACTGATTTGCATTCAATTTTAATACCTTAAGCGCTTCTGTAGTAGTGCCTGCAGCGCTACTTGCTACTAAGTTCACAAGATATCGGACTGTAATATATTTTGACAGACTTTCTTTGTCCTTAGTAACACTTTAGGCTATATTTTTTCTCAGTCTTAACATTTTCATGTGGCAAACTCCACAATTTTTTGCCACTTTCCCAGCGGTCCCGCCTTTTCGCAGTAAATCTATTATTTACATTTATGTTTCCTGATTAACCATATTATTTATTGGTGATCACTTCTTGAATAAATTACAATACAGAAAAAAGTCATCTGACTTCCAAATAAGCAAAAGATAACTGTAAAATGCAAAACTGAGAGTGAGTGCAAAACTGTAACATTTGCCTTAACTTACATTTTTGTCTCCAGGTTTTTTTATTGTTGTTGGATTGACCTCAAATCGTTATGAGAGCGGGAGTAGGAGTGTACCAATAAGAATATACAACAAAAGTATGAAAGTCGTTAGAACTATGAAAGATAGCGGTGGCTGAAATAAAAAGTGTTACATCATGTTACAGTTTTGCTCGTCACTGTACATAATTAAAAACTAAAAAACATTGGAGATTACGAATTAAAAATTAAGTGCGAAAATTATTTTTGGTAAAGTAATATTTTGAAAAAAATAAATACCGTCAAGAAATTAAATTTGATGCAATCGGTTTACATATATAATTTGTATAATATACATACGTGTATTTTACCGTTATTATTAGTCTTTATATACCAAACACATCTATTGAAAACCCTACAACTAATAACTGTCGAGAAGAAATAATATGTACACTAAATAATTTCTAATTACTGGAGAACCTTTCTTTAAGAGATGAATATTTGCCGCCCGATAAGGCTTGAAACTCGCGTTTTCTAGGCGAACAATACTGTGCAACAAATTGAGGGTCATTCAGTGTCTAGCGGTTTAACCAAACCAATCTCAATTGACAGTTTTTTTTTTTTTTTATACCAGTACCGGTCAGAATTTCAGGTTTTAGTCAGAAATTACAGGAAGATATCACTGAAGATATTGCAAATTTGTACGGAACGACCTCTGACTAAATCCTGTAAATTGTATGGGTATTGAAGCAAATCATTTTATAATAGTAACGAATCCTTTTGGTTTTGGTTTGGTTAAAAATCGAATTAAGAAATATGAAAAAAATAATTTTTAAAGCTTAATTCAGCGAGGGTTTTGTCTTTTCTTTTTCACGCAATATTTTCTCGTAACATTGTAATCCTCTGGCTCTCAACCCGCAAAGGTCATTTAAAGTATTTTCCAAAAACTCATTAAAAGTCTAGTTTTGAGAGTGGTACGCCTTCTATGAGTAACCTTCAACTCATAGAGGTTACTTGTCTTCGGTGAATCTAAGTAAAATGATCTGGAAAATAGTTTTATAAGGTTTTAACCCTTGATTGACCTCAAAAGTTAAAAAATGATAAAAACTGCCTGCATATACGCTTGAAAGATATAGAGACAGATTGTAACCTTATTTAATTTAACTACTTGCCTTACAACGTTTTTGTAGTTCACCTTGGGCCGATGGAATGTTTTCTGTTTTGCCAGCCCAGGCATCCAATACCGATGCTTGTAGTGCACGTCCATAAGAAAATGATAGTTCCCAGGGATGCCTCAAATTGACATTATTTATAGCATTTAAATGTACCGTAGCCTCTTCCTCCGACTGGCCACCGGAAAGAAAAACGATGCCTTCAAAGTAAACAATTTATCAATATATTTATGTACATATGTAATTAGAGTGAGTTTTTACTAAAAAAAAGAAAGATCAAGGGGGCGTAAAAGCAATATGCTGTGGAGCAGATAGGAGCTTACATGTCGGTCGAAATTTCATAAGTTTACAGAAAACTTAAAGACGGATGTGAATTCCACCAAAATCTATAAAAACGACATCTGGAAACTAACAATTAGGACTAAGGTAAAAAGCGGTAATAAAAGATATACCTTAATAAGCGGAACCCCTAATCAGATCCGCCGAAAGCAACTTTTAATCTGGATCTGAAAATTTTTAAATAACAAACGATATCACTGCATTAGACAAGAGCCTAGTAAGTATTCAGCTGTAGGCTAACGATACCTGATTTAGATTTTAAGATCCAAGAAGGAACAGCTTATCGCTTTCAAAGCTCGAGCCTTCAGCATTAACTTAAACAAATTATATAAATAAATATATATATAATAGTGAGCAATAGAAGCATGCGCCGGAGTGAAAGGACAGAGAAGAATTGAGTCGATTAATAAAAAAAATATTCTGACGAATTGATAACCTCCTCCTTTTTTGAAGTCGGTTAAAAACTACATAGAATATCTATAACATCCGACGGTTGTTGACATATTACATGCATAGCCTCTAGAATCTATTGCTGTGGCTTTTAACAGTTCTATTCTTCATAAACGTACCTGGTACAGCAGCCGGTACTGTTCTGAGGCAACCCTGCACTGTTATATAAGCTACTTCTTCCGGTGAATTTCTTCTCGGACACTTCTGTCCGGGTGTTATCATATTTGGTTTCAGCAATGTACCCTCTAAGTATACATGATGATCATGCAACGCCTTGTATTGTGCAGCCAACACTGTCTCAGTCACCTTTTTCGCAAAAAAAGAGAGTAAACTTTATTGAATAATTTATGAAATTACTTATAGTTAAATGCAATTGCTTCTTTACCTTTTGCGCCCTGATAATATCGTGTTCACCATCGACCAGCACCTCTGGCTCCACAATCGGCACAATACCCTGCGATTGACATATGGAGGCATAACGGGCAAGCACATTCGTGGTGTCCAAAATGGCTTGGTAGGAGGGTACGTGTTTGCCGATTTTCAGTACGCAACGCCACTTAGCAAAGTCACAACCATCGCGCTTATATTTACCACAGCGGTAATAGAGATCATCCAGTCCTTCGGTGGTGCCCTCATCCAGTGAACCGGGCAATGGCACGATTCCCTTATCCACCTTAATGCCGACTATTATGCCGCGTTGTCGGAGCAGATCTCCGAAAGTTTTGCCATTGTCTGCTTTTTGGTAAAGTGTTTCATTATGTAAAATAACACCGGATATGTGATCGTCGAGATGTTCAGTGGTAAACAAAAGTTGACGGTATATACGACGATTCTCTTCAGTGTTAGGTAAGCCATGTGGTAAAAATTTTTTATCCATTGAACCTGGCGATTCATCGGCCGCGAGTATCCCTTTACCAGGCGCGACTATTGCGTTGGCGATTCTACGCAACTCGTCCTGCAGAGCGCATGGCAAGTAATGAAAGTTAGTGCTCATTTTCATGTGCCACTATGAATTTTGGGTTTTTTTTTTAATTTCTAAAGATTTATAAATTTATATTGATTATTGCATTAAAATTTTGTTGAAAATGTAAAGAAATTGAAATTTTTGGAGAGAGTAATGAAAAGGAAAAAAAGTTCTTGACATCAAAAGTGAAAGAGGCGTCCTAAAAAGTAATTATTAAGAATACAAGTTAAGTATATACCGTTTTTTAACAGGATAGGTGGTCGTGAGAATTCCTTTTGCTTATGATAGGTGAATGCATTTTGAAATAGCACCTAAAACATATTTTGTATATTATATTGGTTTATTTTATTTTATTTAGTGTTTAGTTGTATGTAATTCTACTATAAAAACCCTCCCCACTAGAAAGGGGACAGACCCCGCTTTCTAAAAAGGGGTGCCCCCTTGGACTCCTCCCACAGGCTCCTAGGGAACCGTTTGAAAAAGGGGGAAAAACGGGATTTTCTTAGGCAAACTGAGCAGTTTGAAGTGGAATATGACCCAACTAACAGAAACCGTGGGATTTTTTAATAAAAGAAATTATGCCAAATTAGATATCGGGCAATTTTGAATAAAGAATAAAAAAAGTTAATCAAAAATAGAAAAAACAAGTTTTTATAAAAAAAAAGTTTCTTAACAAATGTATTTTTGCGTAGGATTCCTATCTGCGTAGGCGGCCTTCGGCCGCACTTAGGGATTATAACCCTCAGGCAGTAGAATTCTCCTTTCTGTGTTGCCAAAGAAAAGGGGCCGAACACCTTTTGCATAGAACACCTTTCTGCGTAGGCGGCCTTCGGCCGCACTTAGGGATTATAACCCTCAGGCAGTAGAATTCTCCTTTCTGTTTTGCGAGGAAAAGGAGCTGAACACCTTTTGCAGAGAACACCTTTGTATATTTTTAATGCTTCTGGGTTATATCCTATCTTCTTTTGTCTCTCATTCTTTTGCATATTTTGGAGTTTGAGAGCTGAGTCAGACGCGTGATTTTGAAGGTGTTTTTATTGAATGAATTGTGATTAATTGGTTAATATTAAAGTCGTAAAGCAAGTTATAACTAATCGAGTAAAGTGTAAAGTGAAGGGGAATACAAAAATGAATTGGTGAAGTGGCTGCTTTAAGGAGAATAGAAGTGATAAATGTATGCTAATTTCCGAATTTTACAAAAAAGGGCATATTTCAAACCAAATTTGTAAATAAATTAGTGACCAAAATTTACAAAAGTGAGTGTTAAAATATTGCCTAGACCCTTGACTACAAGTGTGTGGATTTTTTTTTGGATCGGGCCACCCCTTTGGACGGAATAGCCCGAAATAGCTGTGAGCGCTACTAAACCTCACCCGTTTTATTTTCATTTATTTAATTTTAATGTTTTCTTTTCTTATCGTGTTTTTTTTTTTTTTAATCTAAAATAACTGCCTACAACCAATTTTCCATACCACATATACCACCCTGTGTTCACGTATTTTCTATTTTGAATTTGTATACATTCGAAAAGAAGAAGAGGAATCAGCATAAATAAATTTTAGCCGTGCTGTAATTCTTAGAACGGGCCAAATAATTCTCTCCTACCAATAAGAAGGGAACGAGAGTAACTTAAACCCTCAAAAAAAAAAAAAAAAAAAAAAAAANAATTTTAGCCGTTTGTCGAAATGTTTCCTTTGAGCTCGCAGAAGAAATTCTGGACTTTTTCAACTGAACAACAACTTAATGAATTACGTTTGCAACAAAATGTTAATTACATTAAGGCACATGGTGCGGAGATGGATGTAAGTGAGCATAAAATTTAGAATAACTAATATCCACTGAGCGACATCGATTCGATTTCCATTTGCAGCAGGAACAACGTGACTCCCACTTCCTCTCGCCCAGTGAAGAACGTATTCTACTAAAGCAATATGAGCTCTATTTAAATGACTTTTGTCGGCGGTTCGAGCCACCTATGCCCAAATGTGTTGTTGGCACTGCATTTCATTATTTCAAACGTTTCTATCTGAACAACACACCAATGGATTATCATCCAAAGGAGATACTGTGAGTATAATACGAAATAAATTTGTCATTTGAGTATACATGTAGGTACTTGGTTTCAGCGCCACGTGTGTTTATTTGGCTTGTAAAGTCGAGGAATTCAATGTATCAATTGGCCAGTTCGTGGGCAATATAAAAGGTGATCGCAATAAAGCAATGGATATTATACTCTCAAATGAGTTGTTAATGATGCAGCAACTTAATTACTATCTAACAGTACACAATCCATATAGGCCAGTTGAAGGTTTCCTCATAGACATTAAGGTGCGGTGACACAGAAATGACTATAGCCTTTTTGCTAATATTTGTTATCTTTACTGCAGACTCGAAGCAATATGCCAAATCCCGAACGCTTGAGACCACATATAGATGAATTTATAGAAAAAACATTCTTTACCGATGCCTGCCTGCTATACGCGCCATCTCAGGTAAGTAGTTGCAGATCAAATGAACAGGTATTAAACTAAAAATATCTGGTTTAGATTGCTTTGGCAGCTGTGCTGCATGCCGCTAGTAAAGAGCAGGAAAATTTGGATAGCTATGTAACAGAGAATTTATTTGTAGCGGCGCGGGATAAATTGCCAGTTCTGATAGAAGCTGTGCGCAGTAAGTTTTCCTAATTAATTACGTTTCAATACAATGTAACAAATTTTCATTTTGTTTCAAGAAATACGTTTTATGGTAAAGACTTACGAGCTGCCGGCGAAGGATAAAGTAAAAATTATCGAAAAGAAATTGGAAAAATGTCGGAATCAGGACAATAATCCCGACAGTCAAATGTAAGTATGTAGCAATAATTTGATTGAAAGTAAACAGATGCGAAATGGTTGTTGCAATAGCTTAAATGCTTGTAAGATTATCAGTGCTTTTCACAAGTATTATTTCTTTTATGTGAGTTGAAATTTAACTTTCTTAAACCAATGCTGGCGCGTTTGTTCCATAAGTTGTGATGTAGTTTTATTTTTATTTTAGTAAACTTACTTTCATTACTATTTCTATTTAAGCGAGGTTACGGACGTGAAAATGAGTCGGTATGTGTTGTTATTAAATAGGCGATCAATCCTCTTAAAGATCATTGCGATTATAATTGAATATTTGCATTGAGAAAGTGATTAGCCGTCGTACAGGAGTGACGGTTAAAAATTTGGGAGCATTTTTTGAAATGACAAAAACTACTTACTATGAAATCGACGAGAAAAATTAATTTTTTATACTTTGTGCACACACAAATTTAGTCTAATAATGCACGAAGGTGCAGTCGAATAATTAAAGAAATATGAATTCCTATTCAATATACAAATTTATTTCATTTCAAAAAATCCACCAAAAAATCCGTATTGGTTTTTGTATTGCCTGCTAAATTATGGGAACGATTTATTCACATGCGATTGGCGATACGGCTGATAGAGATTTATCCAAATCTTGGAAAGAAGCATTGGCAGCGTATTTCTATCGACAGTTCGCCAAGCTTTCGAAGTTAATCTGCTTTTCTTTTTCTCTGATTGAGCCAGATATATCCCACCTATTTGTACTCTTTTATGTATTGAGTCATTTGTATGATCGATTCTTCAAGCTTTAATTTATAAGCTCTTTTATTTTTGCACCCATTTATAAACTTAGACATTGATATTAATCGTTTTTGACTCATTTCTGATATTTCATTTTTAGCTACAAAGAGCGCATGCGAAAAATGCTTTTCGACGATGACTTCGACTTGCCACTCCACTCCTCCTATCACGTTGCTGACTCCAGTGCGGACATGTCTGTGTTGAATATGAGCCAAGAATGAATTATACATACATACATATATATTTGATGTTAGAAATGTTAAACAATTTGCATTGATTAGTTATTTACATTGTTGAAGCAAAAATAAAGAGAAACAAAAGAAAATTAATAACTGTTAGGAAGTTCATTATTTGCTGTATACAATATTTGGAACCCCCATAGAAAAAACCAAAAAAAAATAAATGAAAATCCCGAGCGTTGCACAAGGGAGGGGTATTAATTCTATTAGGTTTGTATAATTGATTAAAATAATTTTTAATACTTGCCTTTAAAGGTACGCAATTAGCAGCGATAAAAAACTAAATTCGATTCCATGGTTCATTACAATGTTCCTTTTTATTGCATTTGACACTACACTGTTGTTGGTTTTGGACATAAAACAGTTATAGAACAAATAATTTACCATATGTATTACTAACGTATGTATTAAATATAAGTGTATTTTTGCCTCAAACACTGAGTACTAAGTATAGTAGTATTCACCAAAGTGAGCAAGTGGCCTGGCAGTCTGGCAAAGGAGCTGATCAGCTCAAGCAACGACGTTTGTCAACAGTTGGTAAATACCACTATAGTATTGTATTTATTTATTATGCTTGCAAAAGTGTGCCACAATTTAAAGTTATGCTTGTTTTACTTTACTGTGTAATGCATGTGAGAGGTTATTTATTTTTATTTCTGTATTGCGATAAAGCTTAGCTATTAAGTTATGTATGTAATAACTGTCATGATACCTTGTTGAATAACTTGCAACAATGTGTAGTTAATAAAATTTAAATCGACTTATTATTTAGCATATTTAGCATTAAGCTATTAAAAATTAATTGTCTTTTACAAATTCAAATAAGTACTTTGAATTTTATGTTCCTCCTGCATGTACATACTACATACATATAACAAATTTTTGATGATTTTTAAAACTAAGTATAAGTCTAATTAATTTATTCACAAAGCTTTAAAAACCCTGTTGTTTAATGTCATATTCTTTCTTAATATATTTTTTCTTAAATATCTATGCAATGGAAGATTTGGGAAAGGATATGAAGCGTTTGTTAATTTGGTTGATTTGAAATTAGTAAAATTCGAAGCTTTTAGGAATATTTCGTATTTAAACTTAACTTGGTTACTACATTTGTATACGTAACGCTTAGAGGTTGTGAAAGTGCTTTTATTATTGAAGATTTAAAGTTTTAGATTTAGAAATAAGCGTGTGAAGATTAACTTATCTTACTTAACTCTTAAGTATTGTAGACGAAATGTTAAAAAAAGCAATTGTAGCTCATTTGAAAAGCTCCACTAGGGCTTTAAGACTTTCAGAAGTATTGAATTATAGTTACGCAGCTGTATTGAATTTTGTAAAATGTTATTTGGTTTCTTTTTAGGTAGCCCTATTTGAATCACTTGAAAATTACCGTAGATTATTACAAAAAACAAAAAAAAAAATGAAGCTTCGTAATGCCTGTATAAAGTGAAAGCTTTAGTGTAAAATGAAGCTTTAAAGCTTTTATTAAAAAAAACAAGCTTTATAAGACAAATTAATGTATTTTAATTAGTATGTATTGGCACTAATAATTAAAGGGAGCAACTAAAAAAGCTTTACTCTGGTTCGAAGGCTTCATGAAATATTTAGAAATAATTTTGCAACTATTTTCATTTGGATTTATATTTTTTAAGCTTTAGCGCGGTACGAAAGCTCATTAGGTAGATCTCGAGCAAGTAATCTATATTTATTTTAAAACCTCTAATTTCGAGTTTTTAAAAGTTACCAATTCATTTTTGAAGTTGTATGAAGTAAAATTTAAGGTTAGGCAGAATAAATTTGTGTGAAAGTTTGCTTTAATAAATTTCGTAAACTCTCAGGCAAAGTGTTTTATATAGTCGTTTTATATTCAAATTAAAGGAATAAAGCCTATTCATAAAAAAATTGTCTTCAATTTATAAAGCATCTTAAAAATGTTTTATTTTTTATGAACTTAAATGTCGAGCCTTAACCACAAACAAAACCTTACCGAAATTTAAAAAAAAAAAATCTTTTTGATGCCAAAATGCTCCTAGCCTATACTAGATATTAGTTCCATTCATGTTAAGAATTGAAAAAAAAAATGTATACAATAATCAATTATTTCAATCTCTTCGTTTTGTTCGAATTAAACACTTTTTGGTCGTTTCAGATGTTTTAAAACAAATTTTTAGTAGTAATAATGGACACAGTAACTTATATTTAAAATATTTTTGATTAATACTAAACTTTCTAACTTTTTTGCCAAAAAAGTTCTTAATTTTTATAAAACAGAAAATCGACCGAATAAACTACATTTAAAATATTTAATTAAGCATTTTTTTAATTGAAAGAAAGAAACATTTCACAGTGAAAACATTTATTATAACAATTTCAAAGTTTACTTGTATGTATTTAAATTAAAAAAAAATTTGTATATTACTAATATATTAAAGAGAATATTAAATCCTTATACTTGGGCAATTTTTTCAAATTCTCGTTACGGAAAAAATATTTAATAGTAATTGCAAGTTTATTCAAGCTATTTTCAATGCAGCTTAACATTTTTTCGAAACTAAAATAAGTTTAATCATACAACTATTAAGCGGTGCTTTTTAGTGAAAGCTTTCCATGTAGAGCTTTCACCGTGCTTTTATGGAATATTTCCAAGTAGAACTTTCACTTTAGCGAAAGCTTTCCAAGTGGAGCTTTCGCAGGTGCAATTTTTCGTATTGCGACGCAATCAGCTCCACGCACTTTGAAAACTGTTGCTTGCTGCTGTTGTTGTTGTTGCTGCTGTGTGTGTGTGGTTTTCTGCGTTTGCGTGTGGGGCATCTTTTGGCTGTTGTTGCTGCTGCGGTGTCGTTGCTGTCTATTTAGCATTGCCAACTTGGTTGAAAGCTCTTAAAAACAATTCTTGCCTAATTCCATAATTTTTGTTAGTTTGTATTGTAACTGTAACTTTAAGTTTTTACCATTGTGTGTTTGCTGTTTGTGTTGGTATTTGTACAAATGTATATCTAGTATGTGGGTGTGACTTGTTTGTGTTTGCGATTTAGTTTATGTATTTGTGTGTAGTCTGTATATGTATGTGTGTGTTTGTTTTGTTTGTTAAGGCTGGTTTTCACTATGTCAAATTCAGTGGCATTTGTCGTCAAATAAGTGAAAACACATTGTCAAGTGGGATTAGGAAGCGGTCTATCGATTGATTTCGATCAGGATAGGTCTTTAGTCGGGTACGTGCCCTGCTAAATCGGCTATCTGTCAGTTTTTGGCCCATAATATTATCGGTAAAGGTATAGATAAAGGAGATAAAGTTGTGTCAAAATATGTCGGCAAGTTTTGGCGTCAAAATATGACATAGTGAAAACCAGTCTTTAGTATATGTAGCTAAAAGCTTTGAAGCTTTCAATTGCTTTATTTATAGCTTTTTTTTTAGCTTTGAAGCGCAATTTATATCTTTTTAAATAAAATTTTAGCTGTTCTTGGTCATGGTGTACGTAGCTGTTTTCTTGATGTTGTTATTGTTGTTGTTGCTTCTTGCAGCATATGCAGTATAAGTAGTAATTTATTATTTTTCAATAAAAATATACATACATATACGCTGTTCTTGGCTGCATTGCACATGGTTGCGATGGTGGTACATGATGAAAAAATTTAAGTCAGACCATTGGCATCGTATGTGAAAAAGCACTTTTCTTCTTTTTCTTCGCTTTCAGTGATTTTTTCTCAAGTTTTGAGTTTTGCGTATGCTGATTTAGTAATTCAAAATATTTGGTTGTGACTGCTTGTTTCTCTCAAAGCTCAAATCGCAAATATTGATTTTTGAATTAATTTTTTTATTGGTTTCGAATTAAAAAAAAATGTGCGCGAAAGTATTTTTTCTCTCGCTCGCAAGCGACGATTGGTCAAGTATTTTTGTGAGCGAGGGAGAGAAGAAACACTTCCAACACATTTTTTTCATTTTCGTACCTGATTAGAATTTTTTAAATTCACTGAATTGTTTTTTTTTTCTATTTAATTAACTGTAATAAGAGAAATCAAAATTTTTCTTTGCAAATTTTCTTTTTTGTTCTTCTATTGCAGATGACTTTTTGATGAATTTTGTGATGTAATGTCTTTTCCATTAAATATAAAATGATATAAAATAGTGGCACGAGTGAGAGAAACAAAGCGAAAGTTGGAGAGAGCGAGAGAGTAAAACGTGAGTGTTAATAATCGTGATGTATGGTAGGCGTTGTATACAAATGTATGCATGTTTTTGTTGGCAGAATGTATGGAAAATCGAAAAGCTCAAAAGTTGTGATCAGGTATAAATTGTTTTTGAACAGAAAAGCTTTTATGTAGCAAGAGCTCGTGATTGTAGGTTGGGAAATGAGCGCTTTAGCGAGAGAAAAAAATAGAGAAAGAATGTGTATGAAAAATGAAAGCTTTTGAATCAAAGTGATGGGCAATATGTTGCACTAGTGCAGATCGCCATCGATTATAATATAGAAAGCGGTAAAAACTCTTTAAAGCTTTTGGAATTTTTCATACGAGCGCGCATAGATTAAAAGCTCTGCCTCATAGTCGCTGATATAGACCAGTATAAGCCGAAGAGAGCTTTTATTCTAGGCCAGCTTTGCAGAAAATATGTAGTAAGCTTACAAAAGTTTGAAATCTGTGCCTCTTAAGTGGCCAACAGTTTATCAGTTAAGACAAAAACATGCATTCATATATAAAGGAAGAAGCTTTTAAAAGCTTTTTGCAGATTCTACTTCAGAATTTGATTGAAGAACGCCCTATCTCATAATTTGATTGAAGAACGCCAATCTTGGTGTGGAATTCTACTCTAAAAGCTTTTTTTTGCCCATAACTGCTCTAGCGTTTCACATGTTCAGTTGTATGAAACCAAAAGTATGGAATTTGTGTTGAGTATACGCCATGACGTACATACCCAAATGAGAGCATTGCCCTTTGAGGTTTGGAACATCCTGTCGAAATGCTTAACTGACCTGTTTCTGTATGCATGAAATGTGTTAAATATAAAAATTACAACAACAAGTGGAAAGTGGAAATGTTTGAGGCGAAAGCGTGAAATAAT